TATGCCTAGAAATGCAATTTTTAGTTTTTGTGAGTATCGACAGCAAAAGCCTCGTGCATGGGGGCGTGCAGCCGCTCCCTGGCGATCTGCTATTTCCGGATGGCTTCAGGGTGTCCTTTGGCCCTGGAGCCTTTCCCAGAGTCCCCTGCCTCTGCTAGCCCCCAGCTCATCCGTTTGCAGAGCCTTGTCCGCAGGTCCCCAACTGCCTTCCTGCCCCACCCTGTGCCTGGCTGTTTAGTCACGTGGCCAAGTCTACACGGGTGAAAGTGTCCCTGCACAGGGTGGCGGTCTCCGGCCTCTCGCCCATGCTGCAGAACGGTCCCCACAGCCCTGGGAGGCTACGCTGTCCGAGGCAGTGCAGGTCAGCCCAGCTGTGATCTCACGGGGGCAGAATTGCACTGAGCGACCTCCTTCACCCTCAGCTTCCCTGGCCACGTCGGTGTGAGTTCAGTTACGTCTGAAGCGAGGTTCACAGCCTTGACTCGGCCCCCTTGTGTTTGCACGACTTCAGGGGCTGTCGGTTTAGACCGGCCTTCCTCGGGCCATCTCAGAAGGGCAAGTGTTCGGACAGGGTCGGGAACCACCCAAAGGCAGGCGGCGGGGAGCAGGTGTCAGGGAAGTGCCCCTGCACCCACGCCCGGAGCTCTGTGGACGTCACCCCTTCCCTGCCAGCATGGACCCGCATCTTGGGCTCTCCCTCCGGCAAGGGGGCTGACCCCACCCAGACACTCCTTACAGGTGTCCTGGATCGATTGGAACTAGGTGGCCCCAGAGCAGTCCAGGTGGACGGAGCGACTGTCCCTCCTCTCCAGCCCCCCTGCCCACCCACTGGTGGAGGTGCTATCTAGCGGGGACATGGCATAGGACAGGCGCCGGGTGCCAGGTGCTTGGGGATGGTTCTCTGTCTCAGCCCTTCAGAGTCCACCGCGGCCCGTCCTCCCTGCACCACAGTGAGACTGCACCGTAGTCCAGGCCGGTGCTGGCCCCTCTGCCCGAGAGAGCGCCGAGGCGCGGGGCCACCTGCCCGCCTCGGGGCAGCACGGGAGAGCAGGGAGCGCACACCTGTTGGTTTCAGATGCATTTTTCTGCTTGCGATGCATATCTGCATTTCCTCCATCCTGATCCTGGCTTTATGGAACACCATGTTTTTAGCATGTTTTTAAATAAAACCTGATAATGTGGCAAAAGCACAGGCAGGCTGCCTCTCGGTGGTGTGTTTTGTTCATTCGGTCTCAGCGGGGGCTGGTTTCACGCAGTCGCCACAGCTGGGACCTCATCCCCCCAGGGCATGGACTGTACGTCTGGGGCAGGGGTCTCAGGCCTTGCTGTGTGTGGGCGCCGAGGCTCCCTAGCTCCTCCCCCTTTGCTTGGTGGCTCACTGCCCCTCGGCCAGGGCTAAGTCCAAGCGGGCCATTCACGGCGGGACGGGCCATTGCCACACCTGCTGCCTGTCACTTGTTGCCGATGGCCAGTTCAGAGTTGCCGAGTGCATCGTGTGAGGGGTCGGGAACAGGCCTAACAGGGTTCAGGGCTGTGAGTTTCAGGTGCTGAACTTTCCCAGTCCCTCTGCTGTCCTCAGGGTTCATTCGAGCCTGCCAACCTTCCAGGAGTCGAGGGGGACCTCAGGAGCTGCCTTGGCCCAGGCAGCGCCTCTGATGGCTCTGAGACTGCCTCTGGGAGGTGCAGAAGCAGTCAGGCAGGACGGCCAGCGGGGCCGAGCAGCCCTGAGCCCCGACCTTGCTCACCGCGGTTCAAGTCTCCGGCTGCCTTGGCTGGTGCTCTCCGTGGCTGTCATGGTCATGGTGACAAATGGCAGATGAGACAAGCCCAGACTCTGTCCTTGTCCTGTGTCATTGCTGTACACATGGCCTGGGTGCAGGCAGGGACAGAGAATGCGTTGCACCATGAGCTGACGGAGAAGGTTGGGCTTCCTTAAACTCCTCCTCCTCAGAGTGACCAGGCAGGTGTGGGCACCGGACTGTCTCAGAGCACCAAGCTTGGGGACCCTACTCTGCTGTGTCCCAGAGCTCCTGGAACCTTGCCCTTCCTCTGAGAGGACCCTTGTCAAAGGTCCAGCTGGAATGGGTCCCTCAGAGCCCCCCCCAGGAGACTCACCTACAGGCCTCGTGGCTATGGGATCAGGGCCGGTCATGGCCAGGCCAGCCCCACGGCACTGTGGTTGGGCACTGCACTGGAGCCAGGTCCCACAGGGCTAACTGCGGTTTGTCCTGGCCCCTGTGGCGTGAAAAACAGCCAGGCCTAAGTGCACACATGCCCAAAATCCTGGTGAGGAGGAATGAGGGCAAAGGACCCACTGGTGGGTTCTTTCTTCTTTCTCTGGCAAGTGTACACACCCTTTGTCCAAAAAAAAAAAAGTCATGGCTGAGGTCTAACCCCTAGTGAGGACAACCTAGGATTCCCTGTGGGAGTCGGGTGGAGCACCTGTCTCCACCCGCAGCCTGCAGACACCTGCTGGTCCCTATGCTGCGGCTCATAGGGCCACGGATGTGACAGCCTGCTCTCAGCCCTGAGCTCCAGCTGGATGAGCCGAGCCACGGGAGGCAGGCCATGCTAGCTGGACTAGAGAGGACAGCGGGGCAGGGGCTGAGCATCTGTCCTCCGAGGACTTCCGATGGCGATGCTAGAGTCTCCTAGCATTGGGAGGGAGTGGCCGAGATGAACGGGGATCCCTCCACACCTCCATCCTGTGCGATGTGGCGGGAGACCTGCCTCCCCATTGGTGCTCAGGAGAGGGCTGGGTTTGAGAAAGGCTGGCTTATGAGCGGCAGTAACCAGGCGTGGTGCCCAGCGAGAACTCGGCCAGCCCTTGATGGGGCCACATAGAGACAAGACGCTGTTCACTCCCAGCCTTGGGAACAGGCACTCAGGCCAAGCACCTAGACTGCAGTGTGGACGACACGGACCCAATCCCTGCGCTCACAGCCAGACATCTAGAGGGGACTCCAGACGAGGACGAGTTTGCAGCTCCATGCTGACACCGATGTCTCTGGGTGCTGACACAGGAGTGAGGACCCCCAGAGGACGTGACAGCAGAGCTCAGAGCTGAGGACAGGAAGGGTTCATGTGGCAGGGGCGGACGGAGGTGCTTGTCTGATGTGTCCTCTTGGCCCGGGTCTACAGAGCTGGAGCACAGAGGGGGAGAGGGAGTGTGTGCAGACAACAGCCGCCAGCCCCAACCCGGGGAATGGGTTAAAGAGTTGGGAGTCAAGGCTGAGGGCAACGGAGCCATGGAAAGGCTCTAAGCCAAGATCTGACCTTTAGAAAGATGGCCGTGGGCATGACAGTGGTGTGGGGGTGGGCGGAGGGGAGACGGGTGGCTGCAGGGGGATCAGACACAGGCTGCTGCTGGGGGTGTCAGTGGGGTGGGTTTGGGACACACTGGAAAACCGACCAGCCTTGGTGGGTAATGAGATTTGGAGGAAGGAGTGTACTGCCACTCACTCTGTGTGACACCCTCGCCCTGGACAGGTTGCTAGCTAACTGTTCACACCACGTGGCCTCAGTGCATAAGCAGGAGATGGACAGAGACCTGCCGGCACAACCCCGTCGCTCCTGTTTGCACCGAGTGTCGCAGCTGGCAAGGGGGCTTTCATGAATGCCATCTGGGCTTGTCCTGGCCCAGACTTTCCCGTCACTGTACCCGCATGCTCACATTGGAGACACACCATGGTGTCGTGGACAGAGTCATAGGACTCTCATTTGGTGTCCCCCATGAGCCTTGGACGGTCACTGAGCTTGCCTGGCTTTTGTCATCTGCAGGGTGAGGGTGACAGCTACATGACAGGGCTGTTGCCATCTACAGGTGGGGGTGACACCTATGTCACAGGGCTGTTGTGAAGATGACGGAAAAGTGCTTCGAGGCATCCTGCTTATTCCTGGGCCAGGGCAGGTGCTTGGCAAGAAATTGGTTGTATCTGGGGAACCAGCAGTTGGCATAATGGCTATGTCGTTGGACTCCCATGTAGTTGACAGCAGTTCGCGTCCCGGACCTGGTGGCTTAAACTCATGCCAGGTGCGTGTGCGTGCGTGCCTAAGATCCTGAGAGGAGAATGGAGAAGAAGGGATTGCGGCGTGGCCATCCCCCCTGGGGGGTGATTTCTCGCTTTCTGTCTCTCTGTCTGTCTCTTTCTTGCGAGCGCACACGCCCTATAACAAAAACCTCTAAAAAAAAAAGAAAGAAAATGAAAAAGAAATTGGTTGATTCTGGGTGGTCAAAATAAGGCAGGACCCCAAGGAGGAGCTTCTCCCAGGCTGAAAGCCAGGGCTGGGGGCGGTTCTGGGAAGGGCAGTAGCTCTCTCAGGGAGTGAGCTGCCTGGAGAAGCCGGGCAGACAAGCTGCCAGGCCTCGGTTTCGCTCTGGGCAGGTTCGGCAGCACCATTCAATACTCCACAGAAGCAAGAGGGAAGCCGGATTAAGTAAATGTCATTTTGGACATGGAACTATTGGCATTGCAATGGCCTCTTCTTGAAGCGTTCAGCGAGATGGGCAGACTATCGACTGAGCCATCCCGTTTTTGCTGAGTTTAACGGCAGCTGCGAGATGGACTGTGGCCTCCTTAAGCTAACGAAGAGTAACGACGCTCCCCCGCGGGACTCCTGCCCACCCTCCTGCCCCTTCCTCTCTGTGCCCTAGAGACTTTGGGATCATGGAGAGCCGGCTGGGACAAACCTGGGGCTCCGGCCGCTTTCCCCTGGTGACCCCGTGTGCGCAGGTGGGCAGATTGTGGTGGCTGGCCCACTGGGCTGGGCTTGCAGTCAATGCCTGTCACCCAGAGGTCTCCTGGCTCCAGAGTCTGGGACTCAGCCTCACCCCACGTCCAGAGCAGGGCTGGCCCAACCCATGGTCAAGGTGAGAGGTAGCCGTGTTCTGAAGTTTCATGACATCAGGACGCTCCTTCCCTATCCCCCCTCAACACTCCCTCGCTGACTCTGGAATCCCAATATATTCGTTTTTAACAGATTTTTTCCTATAGGGGGTATGCCCTTGCTGGAGAGATACAGAGAGATGGGTGAGTGAGAAATCGCCTCCCACTGGGGATGGCCAGACTGCAGTCCCCTCTCCTCTATTTTCCTGGGATTTGGGACATGCACACACACATGTCTGGCATGACTCTCAAGCCAGCAGGCCTGGGACTTGAACCCCAAAGTTGTTCATGTGGGATCCAGCACCCCAACCACCACATCACCTATTGGCCCTATTCTTTCGTCCCCTTCTTTCTCTCTCACTCCCTTTTTCTTTCTCTCTCTTTCTTCTCTCTCTTTCCGCTCTCAGAGGGTACATGTACTGGCTGGAGAGGGACGGAGAGGGCGAGGGAGAAGAACCCCTCGCTGGGGCGCGGTTACGTGCAGCCCCGTCTCCTGCATTTCCCCACCCTGTCAGGATTCTGTCCTGTGCACCCCTGTGCCCAGCATGTCTTTCAGGCTGCTGGGGCTGAGATCCAACCTGTGGCCAGCCGTGGAGAACCCAGCTCCCTTAACCACCAGCCTGCGGCTGATGCCCAATCATTTCGGAATTTCTTTGTTTTTCTCTGGCAAGAGAACCCAGTTCCGGGAAGGACCTCGCTTCGTATTCACCAGTCAGCAAGTCAGGCCGGGCACACCGCATCCGCTCTCTGCCCCAGTGTGGGGCTGTCTACAGCCGAAGAAGGGATTCCTGCGCTGGTCGCAGTGTTGCCGAAGTCCAGCCAAGGCACTCCTCCAGCCTTCTGGCTCTGGCTGGCTTGTCATGCCCTCGGGGTAGCGATAGGCTTGTGCTTTGCTGGTAAAAAGGGCTGGTCTCAGCCTGACTCTGCTCTGCCCCCGGCCCCATGCAAAGGCTGGGACACCTGGGCCCGGCAGCGTCCTCTCCTGCCCGCTCCTCACTGTCAGACAGGTCTCAGAGGGAAGTCAGGGCTCTCCGTGCACTTGGCCCTGAGAAGGTCAGGGCTTCATGCTCCCTCCCCAGGGCGGCTTCGCTGGTTCAAGGAGAAGCAGGAGTGGGAGCCAGCGTCCCCAGCTGGAGGTGCCCACCGGGAGGCAGCGGTGACAGGCTGATGTGAGGAATCGTGCCTGCTGGGTGGGGGTGGCAGCTGACAGCCAGCCGCTCCGTCCCCAGCCTCGCGTAGCCACTGCCTGCCTGCCAGGCTCACGGCTCCTGGGCTGGTCCTCACACCATTGGTTTGTAGCAGGAGGGGCGAGGAGTATGCTCGTCTCTCCGTGGGGACTCGGTGTGCCTACACACGCGCACACACACAGCGATGGTGTGGGCTGTGGACACGCCCAGCTCGGGGCATTTCCTCCACTAACATGCAGGGGGCTGCTGCTGGGACTGTCCGAGGAGCAGCACAGCCTTGCCAGCGCCTCTCAGAGACACAGTGGAGCGGCAGGACTGGAGACGCCTTGTAAGGTGAAGCCAGCGGCCAGGTCCCCTGGGGTTCGAATCAGCTGCAGGTGGGCTCTCAGCCGCCCGCCTCCCCTTACTTCATCGTCCTGTCTTGGGCCCCCTGGAAACCCAGCTTGCCCAGGTCCTCTTCGGGCTCCCCAAAACACCTCGAGCAAGTTTCCTAGACAGAGTGAGTTAAAGAATGGTTTTGTTTTTCCTCCTCCAGAGAGCACATGAGAGACAGGGAGAGGGAGAAGGCGCCCACACGCCTGAGGGGGCATGGTCATGCTACCAGTTGCATCTCCACTTCTCCATCCCGTTGGGATTCAGGGTGCACACACACATGCCTGGTATGTTTTCCAAGCCACCAGGGCTGGGACTCGAACTGTGGGCAGCCATGTGGGGTCCCACTTCCTTAACTACCAGGCAATGGGGCTGGCCCGAGAACAAGAGTTTTGTGTCATTAGACACAGAACACGCGCTCCCTCTCAGCCCTGCACCGGTGGCCCAGTACTCAGCAAGGACTTGTCTCTGCACCAAGATGAGAGGGTGTCCGGCTCGGGACTTGGGGACGAGGACACGAGCTAGTGCAAGGTGAAGAGGCCCTACCACCCTGGAGGGACGTGGTCTCACCTGAGGAAGCTCCTAGCGCCTGAGCTCTCTCCACATCCTGCAGAGGGCGCACCAGTGGGGTGTGCTCATGGGGATCCCGTGAGACCACTGACCACCAGCTGGCCCGGAGGAGGCCACGCAGCCTGGCTGGTGCTTGCAACCAGGAGCCAATGGCGCCCGTGAGCAGGCCGGGTCAGTTCGCATAAACGAGGTCCAGAGGGCTTCCTAACACGCCTGCCACAGAAGTCAGCGAGGAGCAACGCTTGCCAGGGACATGGTGAACTGGTGTCCAGAGGGCTTCCTAACACGCCTGCCACAGCGGTCAGCGAGGAGCAGCGCTTGCCAGGGACATGGTGAACTGGCGGTCTGGGGTTTCCCCATGCGCGAGAAGACACCGGAGC